TTTTGACATGTGTCAAATAAATCTTATTAAAATAATTTATTTTAATAAAAATTAGTTGATAAACATAGTTTAGTATTAAAATTTTTATTTGATAATTATCTTTAAAATTTTGCTCTTTATTATCTCGGTTTTGCTCTTTTGCTTTAGTCCACGTGACATGCAATAAAACCGAGCTAATATCATTATCATATAGCAATCTTATCACGTAGAAGTTGGAAACAATTTGATATATGAGTAAATTTTAAATAGATTTAGGTTTATAAACCCAAATCTAAAAGAATTTATAATATTTTGCCTTTATATTTGTGCTTTCTAAATCTTCTCAACAAATAATTTCGAACTTCAATAATCATCACATAAATAATATCTACACAAACCAAGAAAAACATCAATGATTTAATTTTAGACAAGTTAAATAAAAAATCTATTTATCGTCGTACATAGTACGTCTTATCAGGATCTGGGAAGCGAGAAATTTAAAAAAAAATAATGAGCTTATAAGAACAGACTTTCTTTTACTTGATTAAAAGGTTAGCGTGTATGTATTTAATATCAGTAAGAGTTTTAATTTGCTAATAATTACTTGATTAATGTCTAACTATAAGGTTGATTTTATTTGCTAGTAATTTGATTTTTTGTTTATTGTTGACCGCATTGATATGAGGTTTAGTAATTTATTTTCCCACATTTTGCTTGGGTTTTTACGTATAATAAAATATTAAACGGTAAAAGTATTTATTTTTTATAAAATTCAGATTTGTATACAATGTAATCAATCTTATCGTGACATGTTTGAGTCAATCGGTTAGATTTATATAAGTATAAAATATTTCTTTTCAATTATATTTAGCCAAATGTAAAATGTTTATATATTTAAGAATAATAATATTTGTTTGGTAAATAGTAAAAAGTAATCATACTTTAAATAGGATTGGAAATATTTAATTATTTGAAATATGTGATATAATTTAATTGAAAATCAAACAATATAAAAACAAATATAAGAATACAAATAGATAAATATTTGATAGACTTTTCAATAAATATTTAGTTATTTGAATATTTTTTCGTCTTTAATTTTTTTTTTTTGCAAGTTATCAAATATTAAAGAGTAATAATAGTTTAAAAATAAATTTGAGAAATAATCCATTAATATTTGCTTTCAGAAATAGATATTTGTATAGTAAAATAATATAAAACGTAAAATTTTATATCAAATCTAAATAGGAATAAAAAACTAATAATTTCAAAATATCTTATACACGTAAATCAAATAACAAAAACATAAAAATTAATAAAATAAATGATATTTTTCTCAATCGATAATTTTGCATTAACATTCTTTTTTTATGTCAACGGATGATCTAATTTTGTTCACGACAATTAATATTTTTTTATAGGTTTATAAAATAATAAATCACAAACCCACATATACGCGGGTCCTTCGTCTAGTTTGTAGAAAACAATGGACCTTAATTAATTCAAGCCCAACTCTTCCAAGTGCATGTCAAGCACAATTCAGATTCCAAAGTCAATTTGAATTAGGAACTAGAGAAGGCATATATATATGAGAAGAACTTGATCGTGAGSTGGTGTGGGATTTTCTAGGGTTCTTCTTTTCTCCAGTTTTGTAAGCATACCTGCAAAAGAAACAATTACAAATTAGGCTTAATTTGTAATCAAACTCTTTGGTTAAATAAAGGTCTCCCTTTGACAAATTTAGTTTTGTGTTCTTATAGTTTATATAATTTCGATTCTCAAGGAAAGAAATAGGCTTATTTCTCAACAAGTGGTATCAGAGCATTCCAGGTGCGAGTGCAGAGAATCTAGRTTTTATAGATATAAGAAAACTTATCTGTTA